ATTTCCCCTCACATCATGAAGCAGTTGATGTCCGGCTTGCGGCACACGCAATAAACCGGCGCGTTCTCCTCCCCTCCCGGGGCCGCCTCCGCGTCCGAGAATTCGCTGTCCTGAGGGGGTACCGGCGGGGGTGTCAGGCCCGGGGGTGCCCCGGACACCGCAGACCCACCGAGCTCCCCCACACCCCCGGTCCCCCCCTCACCATCGCTGCCGCCGCCTCCGAGGGACGCTCCGGGCTAGGCCCAGCAGCGGCCGGAAGCGGGGGCGGAACCAACTTCCGCTTCCGGTACGGGAGAACGACGTACAGCATGGCGGCGGCCAGGAGAGCGATGGCGGCCATGGGGGCCGCCGTGTTTGGGGGGATTGCCACCCGCGGTCGCAAAAAAGACGCCTGAGAGAGCAGTGGTGGCAGGGCGTTTATTGGGGACGTGGGGGACAGCGGGACGTGGGGTACATTGGGGATTTTAGGGGACATGGGGGACATCAGGGACCTGAGGGGACGTTGGGGGCACATGGGGAAAATGGGGACGTAAGGGGACACTGGGGACATGGGGGACATTGGGGAGAAACTGGGGACATAAGGGACATCGGGGACATGAGGGCACATGCGGGACATTTTGGGGCACATGAGGACCTGGGGGCACATGGGGGACACTGGAGAGAAACTGGGGACATGGGGGAAAATGGGGACATGAGGGACAATTGGGGAATGTGGGGAGGATGGGGGGAACTTGAGGGACAATGGGGGACATGGGGGAGCTTTGGGGACCAGAGGGGGACAATGGGGGACATGAGAACACGGCAGGCACAGGTGGCGCGCAGGTAACACGCAGAGGTGTCGCACAGGTGGCACAGGTGTCCCGTGGGGTGTGTCCATCTTGTCCCCATCACTCTGGCTGAGCCTCCAAGGGGCGCTGCAGCTGCTGCAGCTCCTCGGCCAACCTGGGGGCGGGGCCAGAGGTGGGTGGGGCCAGGTGACAGGGCCACACCTGTCCCACACACCTGTCCCAGGGGTCCCACACTTGTCACACACCTGTCCCACACCTGTTCCAGAGGTCACACACTTGTCCCAGGTGTCCCACACCTGTCACACACCTGTCCCAGGTGTCACACACCTGTCCCAGAGGTCACACACCTGTACCAGGTGTCACACACCTGTTCCACACCTGTCCCACACCTGTCACAGGTGTCACACACCTGTCCCACACCTGTCACAGGTGTCACACACCTGTCCCAGGGGTCCCACATCTGTCCCACACCTGTCACAGGTGTCACACACCTGTCCCAGGGGTCCCACAGCTGTCCCAGGTGTCCCACATCTGTCCCACACCTGTCCCAGAGGTCACACACCTGTCCCAGGGGTCCCACACCTGTCCCATACCTGTCCCAGGTGTCCCACACCTGTCCCACACCTGTCCCAGAGGTCACACACCTGTCCCACACCTGTCACAGGTGTCACACACCTGTCCCACACCTGTCCCAGGGGTCCCACACCTGTCCCACACCTGTCCCAGGTGTCCCACACCTGTCCCAGAGGTCACACACCTGTCCCAGGTGTCCCACACCTGTCCCACACCTGTCCCAGAGGTCACACACCTGTCACGGCGCTGCCGGCTCAGCTGCTGCCGGCCCAGCTCCACCTCCAGCTGTCGCTCCGCCCCCTCCTGGTCCTGCTGCACCAATCGCCTGCGAGAATGGGGGTTAGGGGGCGGGGCCAGGCCTGAGTGGGCGGGGTCACCTTGGCGGGGCGGGGCCAGAGCTGGGCACTCACCTGAGCACAGGTGCCTGTGGGCCCAGCTGCTCCTC